CATCCAAGGATGTTTCTACAAAGAAGAACTTTTACCCACAAAATATCCCAACACGTATTTAGTTGAGAAAATTTTAAAAACAAAAGGTAATAAAGTCTTGGTTAAGTGGCTGGGATTCTCAGACAAACATAATTCATGGATAGATAAGAATCATATCATATAATCTTAATATGTAGATATACATATATACAAGCACATATTTAAATAAATAAAAACCCATATATACGTATGCATATTTTGTGTTTCAATTATTACGACAAAGAATTTTGCAATGTCAAGAACGTTTACTGTGTCCGGTAAATCTCCAATACTACATTCAACATATTTACCCCCAATTGAATTGGGAAATAGTAGTTATGAGTGTTGCCTAATAGATTTCCAATCATACAATTCAATACCCAATGTGGATAATGATAACAATCTCTTTCACATTGGAGACAATATTATAAAAATACCTATAGGATCCTATGAATTGCAAGATATTGCGAATTACTTGGAAACGGAATATAAAACTATCCACGAGAATAGAACCATTGAAATTAAGGCGAATAATAATACGCTAAAAGTAGAAATCATGTCTTCTCATGATCCTATTTACTTTGATAAAGAAAAATCTATAGGCAAGCTTTTTGGTTTTACCGAAAAAATCTTAGAATCTGGGAAAAAACATACTTCAAACCTTCAAGTCGACATTTTAAAGGTTAATGCCATACAAATACACTGCAATATTGTAACTGGATCATTCATGAATGGGTCGCCAACGCATATTCTACATGAATTTGCTCTTAATGTTCCTCCGGGATATAAATTGGTAGAGAGACCAATGAATCTCATTTATTTACCAGTGAACGTCAAAGAAATCGGTCGTCTGGAGATAAAGATAGTAGATCAAGAAGGTCGCTTTATAAATTTTAGAGAAGAAGAAATCACGCTACGTATTCATATAAGACCAATGCAATCATGATTATCTACAATAAATACAATCATAAACAAATACCAAGACACATTCAACACAAAGTTGTCAAACCGACAAGACCTACAATTTCAAAGGAAAATAAAGAGTTTTTAAAACTTATTAAGCTTAAAGTCAAACCAAATGTCTGAAATACTTAACATTAATGAGCGTCCATTCTCGGATGAGAATATTGTAAAGAGAGACTACCACAGCTATGTTCCATATATTCAATCATTTAAAAATAATGATGAAATTCGGATAAGTATACAAAATCAGGATCTTTACATACTTCCATCGGAGAGTTATCTATTCATTGAAGGAAATTTGAAAAATAGCAAGGGAGAAGTATCGCAAAATGCAAGACTGAGAAATAATTGTGTGGGATACATGTTTGATGAAATTCGCTATGAACTAAATGGAGTTGAAATTGATCGTACTCGTTATCTAGGAATAACTACAGAAATTAAAAATTGGATTTCTCTAAGCGAATCCGAAAGTAAGGTTATGAGCAAAGCGGGATGGAAAGCTGATAATGATTTATCAGTAGGATACTTTAATTTTTGTGTACCCTTAAACCGTCTACTAGGGTTCGCAGAGGACTTTGATAAAGTAATTTGCAACAGCAAGCATGACTTGATTCTTTTGCGTAGTGCCAACGATAAAAATGTGTGTTATTCAACCATGGATACGGAGGAAATTAAACTCACCATAACAAATGTTGTATGGAAAGTACAACACATTCAATTATCAGACTATAGAAAAATCAGCTTCTTGAAAACTATCAAGGATGGAAAAGCGTTGCCTTTAGCATTCCGAAGCTGGGACTGCTACTTTAATCCAACTTTTGCTGGTGGAAGACAACACAGTTGGAGTGTTAAATTGTCTGTCAATCATGAAAGACCACGATATGTTGCTTTGATATTTGAAAAAGACAACAAGCTGGAACATTGCGAACTTAAAAACATCAAAGTGCACTTGAACTCTGAAACATATCCTTACGATGATTTGAATGTAAAGTTCGAAGAAAATGGCTATGCAGTACTATATGACATGTATACAAAGTTTCAACAATCATATTACATGAGGGAGCCACAACCACTTCTTACATATGCAAGTTTTAAAGACAAGCCCATCGTCGTTATTGACATTAGCAATCAAAACGAAGCTGTTAAGAATGGACCAATCGATTTAAAAATCCAATTTGAAACCAATAAACCAATTCCACAAAACACTTCTGCGTACTGTTTAATTATACATGATCGTCTGGTCGAGTACGTTCCATTAACAGGAATTGTACGAAAAGTAGTATAATTTATTTTATACTCACCTTTGCAAGAATATTTCAATAAAACGCAATTTACATAAATTTATAAACAAAAATATTTTGTTTTATTTTATAATAAGAATAGTTAAAGACTAGTTAAAATATAATACACTTATATTTACTTAAAAATTAAACATTTTGTGTTGCGAGAAAATATTAATATGATGACATTTGTAGTGAGTAAAGACAATTAAATTAATATTATTACTATGCTCTTTTATCTTTATATTGAAACTTAAATCATAATTAAATTTATATTTTAATCCAAGTCCATTGAGACAGATTCATTTGAGTTATTTACATTTGTTTCATGAAGGTTATTTAATCTATAGTGGCCCCAAGCATAGGTGTGAATACCATCCTCTAGAATAAATCGTTTATCATCTTGATGGCTTAGCGATATTTTAGTAATTTTGTCTGTATATATTGTATGCTGCCTTGACCTAAACGAAAACATGGTACCGTAAAAAACCTTTTTGTTATAAAGACATTCTCGATATTTATCTATAGTATACTTTTTTAGGACCGACTTTTTAACTCCCTTAGATTTTTTTACTTCTTCGCTATCAACTACATTGATGGCATACATTTTAGGACGAAGGCCTACAAAATTCAACCATTGTTTTTCCGTCATTCTCATCTTTCATCATGCCACGTTTTTTCTTATTAATTAGAGGAAGTTCATATTTATTTTCTTTTGAAAACCCTGAGGTGTCAAATCTAGCCAATATTTCATCTAAAGATAATTCGGAATACAAATTCCGTCCGTAAAATGTTAATATGAACGAATCTGTATCCATATAATTTAGAATAAAATCCTCACCAAATTTCACTTTTAGAAAATCATACAGAAAATCATACATCACCCACTTTGATAAATCTAATATGCAGAACCCTAAGTACAATGGTCTATCATATTTTACTCTGACATTCCTAATTTGAATAGCAACCATATTTTCGGAGAATATCGAAAGGCTGTGAAAATTTGGCTTCGAGATTAATTTACTAGCAACATTCCTTCTTCTTTGGTTTGCCTCATCTACCCACATTGTCACAATTTTCACAGTTTTTCTTTTGTCGATATTCTCCATTGTCTTACCGAATGAAGAGTTATTCAATAATTTAAAAAAATCTTTTTCAAAGGCATTTTCAGCCTTTTCCCTATGTTCATTATTCTTCAGTATGTAAGGAGCTAACCAAGCGCTTTGTGTGAAAGCCAAAACTCTATGGACTTTCTTAAGAATTAGTCCATGTTTCAGAGATTGCTTAAGTAATTTGTAGTGTATGGTGTATGATGTTTTGTCAGTAAAATCTGCAATCAGTTTTTCAGTTTTTGAGCCCTCAACACACTTTTTCTCCGCCAAAAAAGGTAAATCGTTATGTTTGTCGTGAAGGTGCGGTGGATATTCAATATCAACCTCTAAAATAAAACCAGTAGGAGCGTTGTCAGGAATAGATAATATTACAGCTGGATCATTGAATTTCTCCATTTCATAACCCTCCACCCATCTAAAATCTTTTTCAGGGAGACACTCAGTCATAACTGTACCATATAAATTATTTACATCCAAATAATAGATATTTACCTCTGGTTTGGCACTATTATAATTGGGAGCATCTTCATTATTTGCTACCGAGTGTCTGTTTGAGCACTGGGTAAGCCCTCCCCGAATACCATTTTTGCAGAAATTGTACATGTCTATATCTCTGAGTAGCTCAAGTTCGACTTTAGTACATAGTAGCATTGCATCCCAAGATAGAGATGGTGCTGTGAGATATTGACAAGGGTCCAGTTCGTGAATTCGCATACATAAGCTCCTGAAATTTTCAAATACGTCTGCTAAAAGCAAGACATCAGCTTTTAAGTACAAATCCATGTAGTCTTGCATAGTTTGACATCGAAAATGTGACCAAACATTTGTTGCATGCCTATAATCGTCTGACGTGCATTCAGTATCGGTCAACTTATTATAAAATTGGTCTATAGGGGGAAGTTGTTTCTCCTTCAATTTTTCAAATGATGAAATATATTCGTAGGGAAATACTCCTTTCCTAGTCATAAGTTCGAATGCTTCATCATCAGGAAAATGAGATCTGACAGCAACAAAAGAATCTCGAGATAAATTCCTTGCTAATTTATCCAAACTAGTAGGCATAAATCGAAAACTATCTAAGAAACGATGCTCTAATCTATTCATTTTCTTTTTCTTCTCTTTTTTGCCCTCACTTTCCTCTTCTTGCTGGAATTCCTCATCATCTTCCTCACTCGAATCTTCTTCTTCTCCTACAACAACTGTACTTTTTAAAGAACTAGAGTCGGTTGACTCGTTATCCATATTAATGAAATAAGACATTGAAATATATTTTTCTTTGTTTTGAGGTATGACTCTTATTTCACCTCCAAATTCAACTAACTCTTTAAAGAAGAGGTGACAGTCGTACGAAGAAAAATTGTGGAAATATATTGGAATAAATTTAGGTAGATGATATTGCAGATTGCAATGGTTATGTACCGCACCTCGATATTGCCCCGTTAAGTGACAATGATCTTTCACCCTATCGTTACCTAAAATGTCGCCACATATACGACAATTGATATCCCTAAGAAAGGCTGTCTCTTCTTCGGGGGTTAGAGTATTCATAGGTTTCGTTTTGGTTAGGTAACTATCATACAAAAATTTACAATCCTGAATTAGTTCTTTCAGAATAACATTTGCTGCGTCGGGACCACTATATATAAATAACTTATTTAAATTTTCATTAAAACTACATTTAATAAAATAACTAAAAGCACATGGAATATGCTTCTTTACCTTTTCCGTTTTTTTACTCGCCCCATTGTTCTCATCTTCCTGCACGTCTTCCAGTACACTTTCGGAGTCAGCATAAATAACGAAAGGCACCTTATCCTTTTTCTTGTGATTGACGAACTTTAGTACGGCTTCTTTTTGTTCGGCAGGGCACAGACTACTTTTCCACACTGCTTTTTGTGAGTCATACATTTATTTTCATCGTGGAAACATTGCAGGCATCCAAAACAAAAGTAACCTTTCTCCTTATGACTTGTGAATTGAGACCGCATAAGACTGAAAAAAAAGAACAAATACATGATTATTATGATATGGTTTTGATTGATAAGTTTTGTTTATAATTACCAAGACATATCCATAACCAAAATGTAATGGAAATTTTCTTCGTTGTGCAGCAATATTAAATTAATGTGATTGCTTTTCGTCTCCTTTGTTAAGTAATATGGACCAACGACCGACTTGTTTTCATAACCGAAAACATTTACGCTAATCTCTGGGTTGTTCATTTCAAATTTTTTTATATATTTAAGACCCAATGGGAAATTTAATTGTTCGAAATTTAGCGATATTCCAGACTGCAGAATAATGACATCTTGGTGTATGTCTACGTTATATGAAGAGGTTATACTCGGATCTCCATATGCAGTTTCCCCCAATGCAACAACCATACACCACTTAAAACAAAAGTCATCATAGTTTTTGATGTTAAGGCACGCACCCTTCTTGTTGCTTAATGATTTCGGAGTTGGAATATAATGTGAGCCACGTGTTAAGTTGGCTCTCAACACATTTATGTCAAGTTTTAAAAGTTTCTCCAGGGCCCAATTAGAGCCTCTTTCTTGGAACTCTTCTGATTTAGCTATAATTTCCACACAGTGGTTGAAAACGACCTCTTCCAAATCATCTCCCAGGGTTAATAGCGTTGTTTTTGAAATATGATTAAATATATTTTCAATAGTTAACTCTTTGGAAGTTGAAGGTCCATCTTTTTCATTGTTTGGTTTCACATACAGTCCTTGGAGTTCCATATTAAATTTTATGAGCGTTTTACCGTTTAACTCATTTTTCAAGGTTTTAATTATTAATTCTTTTGAAGCATTAAGAAAATCGATCGGGTACAAAATGTCTTTATTGTTTTGTATCTCATAGCTGAGTATATTTTTGTTAAATGCACTTTTAACAATTTTTATGTCAGAATCCAGATTTTTTCTCACGGTGGATCGATGTTCTTCGCTACGAACGTGTGATCGTATATTATTCACAATTTTATCACAATCACCACAAAACTTTTCCACCTTCACAGCTGATTTATTTTCATGCTGCTGCTTTAGTTTTTCTTGTTGTTGATCACGATTTTGTTTCATTACATGCTCATCTCCATGATGGTTCTCTAAGTGCAATTCTAAATCGTTTACACTTTCACATAAAACATCACAAAACATACAATGCTTTTTCATATGTTTCACAAATTCACTTTTTTCCTTGTAATAAAGGCTGCATGACCAATAAATTTTTTGAGACATTATAAAAACTTTTTTAAAAATATTAAGAAACGATGCTTATTAATCTGTGACTTGTTGAGTACTGAAATTTCTTCCAATCCAATCAATACATTATTGACTACATTTTGTAAACAAATAGAAATTCTGTGATTGAAGCAGAATTTGTCATGAAACTCTGCAACAACGCTTCCCCCCAAATTCTCATATCCATTTCACAGAAATCCAATTGTTAGTTAATGTAAACAATGGTGTTTCCTTCTTCAAATCCCTTCAATCTTCAATACCGAATTGATGCAGGGTTTGTCATGAAACTCTTTCAGTTTCAATTCTCTCAAATTGCTACATAATGTAAACAAATTCTTCATCGACAAAACTATCAAAAAGCGATCGATATAATGTATCAAAATGCCTGTCCACACAAGAAGAATTTGCTTTGATTGGCTACAGCAGCATTTTTTTAGTGTGTATATGCTACAACATTAATTGGTGGTTAGATGTCGCCTATATCGTTTCGAGGGAAATGACTGGAGAGCCATCTGGACAAAATAATAGAACACACATCTTCTTGTTGACTATGATACTAACCAAATTTGTCTCTGCTATATTCACTTCTCATATGGTGGATCTCTCTAGCCCCATTCGATATGATCATATTTCAATAGTTTTGGAGTGTGTCTATGCTACAACATAATTTATGGATAGTATGGATGGAACTCACCGTTAGATGTCGCCTATATCGTTTCGATGGGAATAACTGAACATTTTTGAGTCGCTAAAATTATAGACAAATTAAAACAAGTACAACGAAAAGTTAGTTTTGTCTTTTTATCTCATCATGTTTTGCATAGCCAACATGCTGATTTTCGTGTTCAACCCACTCGACTTCGTTATCTTTTTTCAAGAATTTCACTTGATTATTCCGGAATTTTTCGATGTCATTTCTTTGTCTATATTTTCATTTATACTTTCATCTATGCTGAAATTAAAACCCCTGAAATATCAATAATTGCAGCATATTTGTCAATTGAAACTCTTCTATAATATATCACATTTATTGAAGTCGATTTCTTGAAATATATGTTTTCAAATAAATTAATAAGCACATTTGACTGCAGTAATCAGCATGTTGACTATATAAAAGCATTCTGAGAGCCATCTAGATAAAATGATTTTCTTCGATACTTACCTCTTTCAGATGTGTTTCTGCTATATTCACTTCTCATATGGTGAATCTCTTTAGCCCCACTCGATATGATCATAATACATTTTTTTTTTTTGGAGGGTGTCTCTGCTAGTGGTGAATATTAAAACTTGAAATTTCACCATCCCATACACAGTTTTGGATTGTGTCTGCGCTAAGCTTAGCGCCATCTAGTAGTTCATATTAAAACTAGCAACACCAACGCCAACAGCCCCAATAAAATTTGACGTGGTACAATTCAAAAGACAACATCCCCAATATAATTTGCCGTGGTACAATTCAAACGACAACATCCCCAATATAATTCACCGTGGTACATTTCAAAAGACAACATCCCCAATATATTTCACCGTGGTACATTTCAAAAGACAACATCCCCAATATATTTCACCGTGCTGAATTTCCCCCAATCAACATCCCCAATAGAATTTGCCGTGGTACAATTCCCAAGACAACATCCCCATTAAAATTCACCGTGGTGAATTTACCCAAATCAACATCCCCAATAGAATTTGCCGTGATAAATCGTGGTGAATTCCCAACATCCCCATAAGCACACTACTTACTAAGTCCTGTTGGAATGTCCAAGGTCTGCGGCCAAAATGTTTGCGTGCTCAAGGCTTTAATATACCCTCCTGAATATTTTGGCGATAATTTTCGGCATTTATTCTGATGCCACAGTCGATTAATACGAGCGGGGAAAGCGACCATCGGCTGTTATGGCGGCCCACACCATCACCATGGCCGCTGCTCGAGTTCTGGTTGCCAACCGAAGGTGCACATTTTCAACTGACCTCTTTGGCAAGAAAACACGATAAATTTGTTTGTTTACAAACTGCTGGACAACGATTGTTTTCTAATCGGAGAAAACCAAATTCGGTAGTTCACCACTTTCGGCCAAGCGAAGCAACTCTTTAGCTATTTTGAGACTATTTCCTTTTGGTTGCGGTATAAGTTCTTGCACTTTTTGGAATTTCAATGGCTTTATCCCGAGCTAATTTTTTAATATTTACTGAATGGAATATTGTAACGTGCACGAAGAAAAATAATTCGTTGAATGCATTTTTAAAACTATATTCGCATCTGAGCCTTTGGTTTAAGAATGGATGGCGGGAGCCATTGAGTGGTAGCTTCAGTCGGAATGGGGGGTTCTTATCCATCTTTTACCAATGCATGTTTGCAGTTCAGTTATTATAATAGACTCCCTGATCAAAAGGTTAAGATTCATTGTACTAAATTGTGGACCATAAAAAAAATAAATAATAGAAATACAAAAAAATTATCACCCCTATAAAACAATATATTAATTACTAATCAAATTGAAAGGTTTTGTTCTAATCGTAGCCACAACATAGTTAATTTCTCAGCTGTTATGAGAAATAGCCTCAAAACCCTCACCTTCCTACGTCCTGTAGGCCAGTTAATTTTATGGACCCCAAAATTAGTCACTCCAAATCTAAAATGTTATCCCATTGTGCAAAGAAACTATTTGTATTAATTTACCAATTCATATTGAATTAATTCAGAATATATTCAAATCATAATTTATATATCGGGATATAAAATTTAATACATGAAATAATAAAACTAGTCTAAATTAATTACTAAGAAAAATTTGTTTAAGTAATTTCCCTTAAGGGGTTAATAAACTGAGATAATGCATAATACGTTCTATTTTGAGTGAAGTATTAAGAGCTTATGAGTATGAGAAAAAAGAGAATCAGATGAAAAATATTAATACTGCTCTCTTGCGAAAAAGAGCATGTTACATTACTCTTTGAACCTTACAAAAAATGTGTTCTAAAAAAAAAAAGATCAACATTCAACTTACCCTGCTCTCCTGTATTGTCGAAGGCCTTCTGCTAATACGGGATGCTGGATACTCTCGAAGATTTCTTAAAAATTTGAGATGAATTTCTCTTGATTGTTGAACTTATGGATTTTGTAGCATGCGATAAAATTAAAGCTCTTAATGCTTGCAATAAAGAAAAGAAACTTAAAAATAAACTTATGTGTTATCGAGTTTGATATGCAATAATTTTATCCGTGATAACTCTGGCCAAATTTACTTTTGTAGAAAATTCCACAAAAATACTGAATATGAATATGTTTAATTTCCATTATTAAGTCTAAATAAAATTAAATGATATTGAAAATGAATTAAGTAATTTTACCATAGTAGTTCTGTAGACCAAATAAATTGCATATCAAACCCCATAATATATCAAATAAAATTAGATTTTTGTATACTTATTATAATGACTTTAAAAGGATTGGAAGAACTGCATTTTCGGTTGATTAAAGATTAATTACGAAATAAAACAGGTATGAACTTCGAGATAAACTGAGATAATACTTCCGAGGTTTTATAAACTTAGTCCTTGGGAAAATCAGTTTGGAGTTTGGTGGAAATGTTGAAATCCAGCTTATGATTTCTTGGAAATATAGATTAGTCTCAATTGTCTATAATGGTTAAGTTTTGCCGTATTAGGTTATCGGTTATATCAGGTTGGTTATATCCTGGGCTTCTGCATTTGTTGAGGTAGTTTTTCTTCAAATAGTTGGTCAATCCACGCTACCCTGTGGGTAACACGATCGCTGGCTCGAAAAGTATGGAAATTTGTTGAAAGGATCTTATATTTCAGAAGGCCTGGACCAGCTATACAATTCATGCAGGTATAGATATCTCTTGATTCTTGCAGTATCAGGTCAGAAACTACCCTTGGGTAATTCAGCGTTCGCTAGGAGTGTTGTTTATTAAGTTGTCCTTCAGTTATTATCATTGAGATGTAGGAAACTTTTTGCCCATAAACGAAGGTCTTCAAAACCCAGGAAATATGGGTGGTTGAACAATCACTCCACTGCAATATTTATTCTGCAATCAATTCACTTTATTGCATTTGTATTTCTGTCACAAAAAATTGGTATTTACCTTAAAAATGTGTCGGTTGAACAAAATAATGGAGCTTAAGAAAAACTGATATTACTTTTAGGAAATGATATTAATTTTGATGATAAAGATTCTTTCCGAACTAAAGTCTGATCACTTTCGTAGTTTTTAGTAAAAAGAAAGAATAATTTTTGGATTTCAAGGAATATACTTAAGTTGGTTGCAAAGAAAAACAGTATAAAAAGGAACTATAAAATGTACTACCAGATGTCATAACAATATAGGATGTTGCCAATCTAAAATACCATTTTGCTAAATTTCATTAAATATCTACAAACATAAAGAATTATGCAGAATGTACTAAATAAAGTCCGTAGAATCCGAAATTTGACTTTATTTGCACATTACAAAACACTTTTTAGTGAATTATTAAAAAAGTCCTATTGGGTTATTATGACAAATGGTAATCCGAGACATCAACCTCATGTTTCTTCGATCGTGGTGAATAAGTATCAGTTGTGACATGTTATGAATGGAGTGTGTATTTATGAATGAACAGGTAAAGAGAAACGCAACAAAAACAAACAAAAGAATCAATAGCCAAATGGAGTCGAAAAGTGAGGACTTATTCCTACAAATTAGAAGAAGTTGTGATGGAATTACTCTAAAACTCCGGGTGAGTATGAAGAGAATTGAGTAAACAGGTTCTCTTTTTGATGCTTTCATTGCTTTTCTTTTCAGATCTAGTTTAAAAGGTGATATTGTATTGATTGGCAATTAGTACATACAATGTGATGTCATGGGCAACAGTGATACCTTGTTATGAAGAATATTTCATACGAAAGATTAGAGTAACATGTAAACATTCATCGAAGGTGTTCTATGTGGAAAGACGTTAATTGCAA